GTGGCCCAGCCCCCCAGTGGCCCGTTTTTGCTCCCAGGAGGCTGTGGAGAGGCCTTACTAGGCGCATAATGGTGGGGAGGGGAGGTGGCCCAGCCCCCCAGTGGCCCGTTTTTGCTCCCAGGAGGCTGTGGAGAGGCCTTACTAGGCCCATAATGGTGGGGAGGGGAGGTGGCCCAGCCCCCCAGTGGCCCATTTTTGCTCTCAGGAGGCTGCAGGGAGGCCTACTAGGCTCAAAATGGGGCACATGGGAGTCGTGTACGCATGCATGGGGGGAGCAGAGGGGGGGGTGTCTCACGTGTATTGCATTATGGGTGCTGTTTGCACGTGACAACAAAAAGGTTAGCCATCACCATTCCAGACAAATGGTTATTCAGTCTCTCCTTAAAAATTTCCAGTGTTGGAGCACCCACAACTTCTGGAGGGAAGCCGTTTCACTGATTAATTCTTCTAATTGTCAGGAAATGTCTCGGCTGGATCCCCAATGTCTCTTTTCTTTGTCTCCTTTTTTTTTGGTGTACCTCATACTTTTTCTCCTGTTTGGTTTGTGTTTGTTTAGGAGCTCCCTCTGCAAACCAAGAGGCCAACATTTTCACAAGGGCTTCACAGCAACTTGGAAGCTAACAAGCTCCTGGCTTGGGATTCCTCTCTGCCATTCCAGAGGAGAACATGCGATTTGGGTTTCAAACCTAGAATTTGAAAGAGGCGGGGAAAAGATTCCCCTCCAGTTAGCGTAATCGGGGCTGGGTGTTTTTTAACGAAGTGACCCAGTTCCATATTGGTGGTTAGACAATTCAGAGAGACATGGAGCCCAAATCTAGAAGTCCAGAAGGGGAACGTGTAAGGAAATCCTGCAGTAACGATTTTTCCAAATGCGCAGAGATGGAGCACTTAGGATGGAAGCTTTCGCAAGAAATCAAGCGGGAATCTTTCCGACCCTGCAAAACCCAATGGCAGGACTTCCTGAAGACCTTGCCGTCTCCCCACCTGGGATGGGAGGAGGACTCTGAAATGCTGGCCAACGCCCCTTGGGATGACCCCAAAGCCTTCCTGGCCTCCTTTGAGCAGGTGGCCCAAGCCTGCCAATGGCCCAGGGCCGAGTGGGTGCCTCGACTCCTGCCAGCCCTGAGCGGAGAAGCGAAGCGGGCCTTCAGCGGCTTAGAAACAAGGGACAAGGAGGATTATGGGAAAGTGAGGGCGGCCATCTTGAGAGGGGAAGCCATCAGGATCGAGGTGCAACGGCAGCACTTCCGGCAATTCCGCTTCCAGGAGATCGAAGACCCGCGTAGAGTTTACGGACAACTGCAGAGGCTTTGCCACCAGTGGTTGAAGCCGGAGAGACGCACCAAAGAGCAGATCCTGGAACTGCTGATCCTGGAGCAGTTCCTGGCCAGCCTCCCACCGGAGCTCCAGAGCTGTATCCGAGCAGGAGGGTCAGACACGTGTTCCCAGGCGGTGGCGCTGATAGAGAATTTCCTGCTGAACCGGCAGGAGGTTAAGGTAGGAAAGTGTCAGATGTGTAATATTTGAACCTCTCTGCAGGACAGGGGAATCAAGCTTTAGTGCAGCATTCAGAATAACGCATCCGCCAAAATCAGAACTCCGAGGCAGGTAGATTCATCAAAGAACATGTTTATTGGATAATTGGTATGATGCATATCATATCAGCACAGCTGGTGAAAACCAACTGAAAGTTTCCCCACGTTTCTGGCATAGTTAAAGAAGCAATTCTTTCCCTCCCCAAGTGTCACAAGTCACATTAGCAATAGCATATACTGCTTCATGGTGCTTTTACAGCCCTCTCTAGGCAGTTTTACAGAGCCAGCCTCTTGCCCCCAACAATCTGGGTCCTCATTTTACCCACCTCGGAAGGATGGAAGACTGAGTCAACTTTGTGCCTGGTGAGATTTGATCTGCCAAACTGCAGCTAACAGTCAGCTGAAGTGGCTGCAGTACTGCACTCTAACCACTGCGCCACCTCGGCTCATGAATTCTAAAGGGGTGGGGGGAGAGAGTCAAACTATTTTCCAAAGCGCCTGAGGGTAGAACAAGACGCAATGGGTGGAAACTAATCAAGGAGAGAAGCAACTTAGAATTAAGGAGAAA